GTCTAATACTTTATTTAAAACTAATTGTAAGTTATGTGCATAACAAGTAATTGCATCAACGGACATTCCTTTAGTTGCAGAGACAATGTTGGCAGCGTTATCATGCATAACTACACATTTATCATTAATTTCCCACTCATTTATAATATTATTTATTTTATTTTGTAAGTTTAATGCTGTGTGTCTATCTTCCATACTTTCAGTTGTGATATTACGTGACACTTGTACCCAATTTTGATTTATGTAATGACAGGTTAAGCTGATATATGATTCAGTTGCCCTTGATGTCCAACAATCCGTGGTTATGGCAATGTGTGGCACATCTTTTAATTCTTTGATTAGGCTTTGTTTTTGAATATCATAAAGGGCATCTACACGTATTTGGATAGTCTTTGCTGTCGGTGTTTTGTAAGTGGGACAAATAAATTTTAACAAATTTTTGAATCCACGATTTTAAACAAATGACACTGGTAGTGAATCAATGCAAATCATTTTTGTTATTAGTTGAGTTATGTCCTCTTCTCTTTGTTTGGAAATTTTTTTGGAGAAAAAGATATTATCGATTTTTGTTTGAACCGATGAAGTCGAACTTGTTTGGCTTGCTGACTCTGACTGAGTTTCGGTTTCCAGTTCATCCGATACTTCGGCGCTTACTAAATCTGATGTTGTTGACGTACTACAAAACAAAAGTTGATTTAAGCAAGGTCTATAAGTAAATATTTTCTTTATAAACAGAACAAGATGAGACATTACAAAAAAGAATGGATCAATAAATTGTATCAAATAAACTACATATCGGTTGATAAATTTTAATAAATAATATAATATTTAATGAACATACCTTGTAATTTTAGAAATATGCTTATTTCTTAAATGATTCCACAAATTACTAATTGTGCTGTTTCTAGTAGCATTATAGCTGCAAAATTTGCACTGCACTCGAGTTTCTTTTCGGTCGAAATATATCCAAATTTTGCTACGGGTAGTACTCATTTTCAACACAAAAATTATTTCACTGAATTAAATTGAAACATTAGTAGCACAAATCTAACCTCCGCCACGCCACAAATAATACTAAACAAGTCGGCTGGGCAGCGTAGGCTTTATATCGACTTGATAAAAACAAGTTCCAACACGCACAGGGCACAGACATGATTGTCAGGGCTCACCGCACTACAACTATTGAGTGTTATTAGAATAGTCGACTATTCAAATATTCTACTTTTCGGCTTATAAATTATGAAAATTATTCGAATTACGAATATTCAACTATTCGACTATTCGAATTATTCGAATACGATTCCGAGCCCTACTCCCCACCACACACGACTGACGTCACGTCTTATGTCAATTCCCCCACCACCCTATCACCGGCTATTCGCCTACTATAAAAGGAGCCCCAAACACCGCAGTACCACAGAACACGGTGTATAGTAGAAGTTGTTTGTCTATTACGCACAACGCGAAAAAATACTTGATTTCGGATTATGGACGTTGAACGTTGTTCACAACGCGTTGTGGGCGTTTTTATCGCTCACAGTGATTTCTTTTTTTGGGCATAACATACACACGAATGTTATGTATAAATACTTGTAAAGGCGGAAAGACCAGGACCGAATCGGTCGGTAATAAAGGATTATTTCTGAAAAATCGTGATGTGCTATATACGTTGAAATGAAGCTGAAAGATTCTATGGTTTATGATGTGATATAAAAATTGTTAGATAACGTTATTGAAATTTCCATCAAAAAATTTTTCTTACCTTTAGTTTTTACATCCAAATTTGACGCAAACCTTTCACAATTTCGAAGTGGTTTCCTATCAGCGCTATTACTCGTTATTTTCAAAGTAACAGTCCTTTGAAGATGGATATCATCATCCCGACTCCACGAACATCTAAATAACGTCACATTTTTCGGGGTGTAAATAGTCCCGTATTCTTTACTAAAATCCCCAACGCACAACGTCGGTTCATCGGAACTATATTGCAATTTAAATCCTCGATGTGACGAAACGTGAGCCGTCCAGAAATTAATCCCCATCACATTATCGGTTGAATAAACATAATCCGCTTTATCCCCAGCACTCAAATACTCAATTTCCGAGTAAAAATCGTGATCGTTAAAGAAAACGATTCCTTGTTCGTAAGTGTGGGAGTTCTTATCTAAATCGAGATCGATTACTTTCACTTTAATCCTTCTTCCCCGCGAAACCTCGATGATCCATTTGCAAAGTCTTTGATGGGGGATCATACTTGGATATCCCGGGGATGTTATGTACCCCGATGGAGATGTTAATTTCCCGCCACAAACGCCGTGGTCCGTTACAAAACTCAATGAGAACCCAGCGAATCGTTTCGCCATGATAATTTTACCGGAAGTGAATTTAACCGTGATGTGATTCCCGAAAGTTTGGACGTTTTTCAATTCGGGTTTCATCCTGCACGCATCAACAATGTCTTTTGAGTTATTTTTCAAAAAATGTTCAACAATTTTAATCCGGGCTTCTGCACAATCGCCAATTCGAGGGGGTAAATCGATTTCTTTGAAGGTTACGTTCAAAACATGATCCATCGGCCCAATTATTTCCCAAGAACAATCCGCGTTTTCGGGGTAAAACTCTTTCAATCCGTAATTAGGGGATGTAATCGTCCCGGATGTCGCGTGAATTATCCCCCCACAATTTTTGATTTGTATTTTGGCTTTAAACCCGTTCCTTGGGACATCAAGTTGGGTGAAAAATTTGATGTAGAGTACATTATCGCTTGTGGATTGAGAACTGAGAGTTTCATCGCAAAATCTTCCGATTAATTTCGAAGTAACCGCAGCGCCATCTCGTAATTCGACGTATTCGTCTTTGCAGTTAATCGAGTTGGTTAAATCGAACCGTTCTAAGAAGTCGAATCGTATCGATTCGCCGGGGGGAGCTCGAATGATCCAGATACATTCGATGTGGGGTTGGGGGATGTTGGGGTAATTCGGGGAATTAATTATCGTTGAGTTTTCAAATTCGGTTAGGATTAATTTCCCGCCGCAATCAAACGAAACTTCTTTAAACGTTAATTCAAATCCTGGGGATTTAGCGATTGATGTTGAGTGGAGCTTCATGTATAAATGATTTGATGCTGATTTTAATGTTGGGGGGTGTTCTTCCCGCAATATTTCCCTTCCCCCAAAAATGGAGAATCCGGGTATTGCCCGTTTCTTAAAATTAAGTAATTATCGCAAGGGGAATCGGGGGATTCCCCCAAATCGAAGATTTTGAACGAAACTTCGATGGTTTTTCCTGATCGAGCTGTAATATTCCATTGGCACTCATCGTCTGGGACGGAGGATTTTTCGGAAATCTTTATAACCCCATTACTCGATTTGATGCTCCCCCCACAACGCTCCGATATGATCGCTTGGAACCCGCTTGAGTTGCTGAATGAGTTTGAGCGGAACACAACTCTCATTAAATTCGAAGTTAAAATCTCGTGGTGAGTCTCATTCGGTAAACAAGCCGTTTTTATCAATTTCCAAGCAGATTCTTCATCATCACTCCCAGCGTAAATTTGCACCTTATCAAAAATGCAACTTCGCACGTTAACAACGCGCAAATCATTGAATCTTAGCCCCAAATGATTTTGGGATTTCGTCGAAAACGTCCAAGAACAATTCAAATTCTTTTTGTACCCCCAAGGATACCCCGGAGATGTAAGCAAAAAAGGATCACTCCCATTTATCACCACAGTCTCTGAATTGCCACAAGACTCGTTTGAGCTTAAATAAATTAATGGATTAATATAATTAGGTTTCGAGACGATGTTGATTTGAGTCCACTCCAAAATAAATCGGCTTGGTTTGTTGCGCGGATCGAACATCGCCTCCAAATAAATCACGTTAGAGGATGACTCAAAATTAAGTTTTCTCCCCCCGCAATAACATTCTCCATCCGAATCGGTGTTGTACCCATCATAAACCGCAATATGCGCCTCGTAATAACACATCCCCTCGTTAGTCCCCAACGAAAATTCTTTGGCTGTTAACCTAATTTTGTGGCCAAATCCAACTCGAATCCTCCAAAAAAACGATGAAGATTTCGCGTAGTATTCCGGGTAAAGAGGCGAGTATAAAAATCCGTGATCCCCGCTAAATTCATTTTCGTGATCTAAAATGAAATCATTTCAATAATTTAAATTAATTAATTAAATTTTTATTACTTAAAGAAAATCGTGCCATAAATCCTTTCTTCTTTTGCCCGATATCGCCAACGTCTGATTTGGCACTTTTGAAATAAATCCAAATTGAGCCGTTTGCGTTGATGGTTGGGGGGATGTTGTTGCCGCAATAATCGCCCAAAAGTTTGTTGTTGTCGTCGATTGCGCGGATTTCGACGAAATCTTCGTTGCAAAATTGCGATTGGACCAATTCGAAATCTTCGAAGTTGATGGTGTAAGAAAAGCTGGGTGACATTTTTAGGGTCCATTCGCATTCGATGTCGTCGGGGTATTGGTTTGGGTAGTTTGGAGTTGCAAATTGGCCGCTTTCGTGCTCTAATGTTCCTCCACATGCTAAAAATAAATTTATGTAATAATGTGGGAACTGGCTGTGGTAAGGAAGGGTCTGGAAGGACAGGTGGTGGGGATAGAAGTTGGAACGACATGCACGGACATGCACATTAGAAGTTGGGAAGCAGATGTGAGAAGACGACACGAAGAGAAGATTAGTTATAGTAATAAATTAGTGACATAAACTCTTTGATGTGGAAATAATAGTAATAATAAACTAGTTAAGGACAAGTGGGGCTTTTGTTTTGTTGACTATTTAAATAAAACCCTACATTTTTGGGGCTCAAGCGCGATTGATCAGACAACGAGAGAAGACGTGAAGGCGAGAAAAGAACGGAAGACTAGAGAAGACGTGAAGGCGAGAAAAGGACGGAAGAGGAATACACGTAAACACGAGAGAACCTCAACGCACGGCGCGACGCAACGGTTGAACGGCGCCACAGTGGTTCAAAACGCGAAAAAGTGACGCATAGAGGTAAAAAACAAATTTACCCCTAGGTAATTTTGGAAAGTCCCTTTTATAAATAACACTTTTTTCTAAGAATTACTTTTACTCAAAGTCAATTATATGCAAATCTACCTGTGCAACATGGATTTCCTTATAAGGGCGCAGGGCAAGTTATTCGGTCACTTTGTCTCAGCGCTTCATTGGTATACTTTCAGTTAATTTTGTGACGTTTTGAGTGGTAGTAATTTTTGAAGAAAATATGGATTTCAAGGTTTTAGGTAAGTATTATCATATGTATATAACAGTTTTTCAATTGATGTCTTGATTGCCAGTTAACATTATGAGAAAGTATATCATGAATTTTGACGATTTTGAGGTTTTGAACTATAATAAGTCTTGATGCCCGCCTACGCCCGCTTTGAATGTTGATCGTAAAAATAGTTTAAAGTATTACGTATTTCGTGGTGTATGATTTAGACCCGCCACGATCCGCCTGTCGAAAATATTTTGCATTTTATCACCACATCTCCGTAAAACACGCAATTATTAAGTAAATAAGGCTTACTAAATTTTGAAGCCGGCTTAAGCCCACTTTGGTTATTGATTGTAAATATAGTTTTAAGTATTACCTTATCCGTGGTGAATGATTTAAAACCACCTCGATCCAACTTTCGAAAATATTATGCATTTTATCACCACATCTCCGTAAAAAACGAAACTATTTAAAACTAACAACTACATATTTCTTAAAAGGCTCATTAATTTTTTGGTAATAATATGTTTCAGATCATATTCTGTATACCCAATAACTTTTTTTATGCGATTGTTTTTGTTCATTTATTTGTTTATTATTTATTACAGCTGAAATCACGCGTATAGATCTATGCAATAAATTTCTTAAGGGTGGTTTTAGCAATAGAACCGAAACGGAGGTATTTAACGAAATACTAACATACATGAACGGGCGTGGCTTTACTCCAAACGAAACCCAAATAAAATCTTTTTTAAAGAAATGGGCAGAAAAATGGAGAAAATCTGGACATTCTTGGGAAAAATTTATTATTAAAAATCAAAATTGGTTAGATGACAAACCATTTAAGAAGTTATCTGATGAGAGTGTGTCAGAAGCTGGACCTTCAAAACGAAAATGTTTTGCAGATTTGTCAACTTCTCAAAAAAATAGAGCAACCAAAGGTAATCGTTCAGCACGTGTGGGATATAATGTGACTATAAACTTAACTTTTAGAAATAAGAGATAGTTACACATCTGAAGAATTATCATATGCAGCTACATCTGCACTTAGGCAAGCACACAAAATAGATGCAGCAAAAGCTGTAAAAATGGCTACTCTAGTCCCCGAAGACGTATTGTCTGCCGTAGGGCGCAGTGTTCCTGAACCATTTACCCCAGAAGAAGCAATAGCTTTATTTATTATAAATGGTAAACAAACAAAGGCTCAGTATCAAAATATGCGTTCAGCAGCCTTGTGGAAAAGTAATATTAATTTTATTAAGTAAGCGCACCTAATTTACTTTATTGCATTTATTTTATAGAAGTTGATATTTATCCAACATACCACGAGATACTAAAAGCCAAAAAAGAAAGCTATCCTATTTTAAATCCAGAGTATTTTTCGGAAATGGAGGCAAAGGTATCTCTTCAACATCTGGTGGATAGAACAGCCGAAAGAATTTTAAAAAATATACCCATAGAAAATTGCCCAAACAAGTTAAACATAACGTTTAAATGGGGTATGGATGGCAGCAGTGGTCATCCTGAGTTTAAACAAAGGTTTATTAACCCTGAAAATTCGGATGCCACCGTAATGTGTACGCACGCATTACCCTTATTCATAGAAGGTGATAAAATTTTAGTTTGGAATAATGAATCTCCTAATTCGTCAAGGTATTTTTTCGTATAAAATATTTTAAAGCAGTCTCTAATCATGAGTTTTTAAAATTTAGTCTATGTAGGCCAATACGGATGGCATTCTGTAAAGAGGACCAAAATTCTATAATGGCAGAATACACGAGGATGCTGAAAGAAATAGATAATTTAAGACCATCAAAAATTAAGATGTCAGAGACATATGAGGTGGAAATGACCCATACTTTTCTATTCACCATAATAAATGGAAAAGTTATCAACGCTATCATTAAAAATCCCGCTACTTCGATAAGTTTGTTCATAATAATTATATTAATCCTAGGATTCTAAAAAAAATAATTTTGTGAGTAAGTTAAATAAAATTAAATGATTTTAGAGATGTCCAGTGTGTTTAGCTGGGCCAAAAGATTTGAATAAAATGCCAAATAAAGAGGCCATTAACGAAACTGTATTTGGATTTGGTATATCGCCATTACACGCCAAAATTAACATCATGCAGTTTTTGCTACGATGTGCCTACAAGTAAGTAAAAGATTTAATTTTAATTAGTCATTATTTTCTATGACCAATTCCTTCCCAGAATGGACGAAAGCAAGCAGCCAGAAGTACGGAAGAAAGAAATCCAAAAACTATTTAAAGAAAAGACTGGTCTGATTATAGACAAACCCAAGCCAGGTTTTGGAATTTCCCATGATGGGAATACGGCCCGAAGATTTTTTCAAGATCATCAACTGACATCAGAAATAACCGGAATTGATGTTGAAATTATTGAACGGTTTTCAAATCTGTTAGCGGCAATATCCTGCAACAGGGTGGTAGATTTCAAAAAATATGAAAAATACGGGATAGCGACAGCACAACTGTTTTTAGATACATACCCCTCTTTTACATTTTCGCCAACTGTGCATAAAATTTTGTTTCACGGCCATGAGTATATACAACATTTTCGATCAGTTCCATTAGGTAAATTGTACTTGAGTAGACAACGAATAAGAAAACTATAATTTTTGTTTTATAGGTGCACTAAGTGAAGAACCCCAGGAATCCAGAAATAAAGATTTTAAGAAATATCGGACTGATTTTTCAAGAAAAACTTCGCGGAAAGATACCCTTGAAGATATTTTCAACCGATTTATGCTTACATCTGATCCTTTCTTTTTTAAAATATTCAGAGCATTTAATAGGTCATCTGTAAAAACGAAATCTGCTACGAAAAAGCTGCACATAGATGATACCGTTCATTTTGAGGAATCTCCTTTGAATGAGTCGTATGACTCAGATTCCGATGACGACTTCCAATTAGATGATGATATTTCTTTACCAGTCTCCGTAGAAGAGTTTGAAGAAATCATTTAAGGTTGTCAACGTAAAATGGTCTACACATGACTTGTGTATATGATACATACATACATACGCGATACATGGATGTATATTTATTTTTTATAGACTGTTCTTGGAGTTACCAACATATTTATATCATCTAAAATATTTGATTCTAGTCTATAGAATATTTTATTTCTTTAGTCCAATTTAAGTGTTAATTTATATGAAAAAAATTGGGTATGTGTTCAGATAAAGTACCACTTCCGGTTACGCGATTTGATTGAAATTTAATATCTGGATGTTTTGCATAATTGTAATGGGTTATACAAGATTGCATGCATCTATGCCAATTTAAAGTGCAACTTTATATGAAAAACTGTAGGTATGTGTTTAGGTAAAGTGTCACTTTTGGTTGACGAATTTAGTCTAAATTTTGATACAAATCATAATTTTTGGTACAATAATCTCATACCAAATTTCATCAATGTAATAAATCTCTAAAGGTCTATGCGTCATTTTTCGCCGTTTTGAACCACTGTGGCGGCGACGACGCTAACTAAAGATAAGGCACTTGTTTTTTTTCTTGTTATTTAATTTCTTTCGAACTTTTCTATCGATCGAAATAATTCACGTTTTTTTTGTTTTTATTGTTTATTACTGTAACACGCTCTCGAACAATGCCGAAATTACGAGAATTTCCAAAAATTGAATTTAGTTTGAAGAACAGAAATTTAAAAACAATAAAAATGCTTCATGTAATTTGTTTTGGAGATGAGGGTTACTTATTCAAAGAAGAGACGAAAAGATTTACTTGATTTTGATGGTTTCGGTTTCGATGACGGTTCTGATTCATACAACAATAAACTTGATGAAATAAAAAAGATTGACCTGCCCGATTTATTCGCGATCTGCCACGTGTTTGATTTGAATTATGCCGGAAAACCTGAAGAAGTGGCGAACAGAATTCTGAGATTTTTGAATGAATGCAATGTTGACAGCGAGTCGGCGCTCGACGATGAAGATGTAGAACAAGATGAGGAACAAGAAGGTGATAACCAAACAAGACAAAGATATGAAAACCAAAGAAGACAAAGATATGAAAACCAAAGAAGAAGTGAAGATAGAATAAGCAATCCCAATGTTTCAATGTCTATGAATTTTCGTGGCGTAGAAGAATCTGTAAGAAAGTTTAATGGTACAGATGATTATCCTATTCAGAAATGGATAAGGGATGTTGAAGATTTAGCTGATTTGCTGAATTGGAGTGATTTACACATTTTCATATTCGCCAAGAGACTACTTACTGGATTGGCAAGACTGTTTATTCAAGGTGAACGAAACATAAAGTCATGGGAGACTTTAAAAGAAGCACTGCATGAAGAATTTTCGGAAAGAATTAACAGCGCACAGCTACACAAAATGTTAAGTGATCGTAAAATGAAGAAACATGAAACTTATCAAGAATATTTTCTTAAGATGAAGGAACTTGCTAACCGAGGTAAAATAGAAGAATCCGCATTGATCCAGTATATCGTTGATGGAATTTATGATGATTTTGACAGTAAAATGATACTCTACAATGCCAAAAGTTTGCATGATTTGAAAGACAGCCTTTAAATTTATGGAGATGTGAAAGAAAAGAAAGCCGTAACAACACGAAATAAACTTAAAACAAATAAACCACAGAATGAAGAAACTAAACAACATATGAGAGAATTAAAATGCTTTAATTGCGGAGAGAACGGACATCGTTCAAGAGAATGTCCAGTAAGAGGACAAAGTACAAAATGCTTTAAATGTAATGCATCTGGACATCGTTCTTTCGAATGTAGCAAAATGAAATCAGGGACATCGAGTAACAAAGGGCAACATGTTAATTTGGTTCATGCTGGAATCACCTATCCGAAAAATGTGTTGATTGATAATAAAACGATTATTGCACTGGTGGATACAGGAAGCCCAATTAATATAATAAAAGAATCTATTTACCATAAATTTCGAAAACCAAAGTTAGAAAACGAAAGTTTAGACCTAAGTGTATTTGGAAATGCTGCAGTAAAAACAATAGGATATTTTGAAACAGAAATAACAATCGACGATACTAAAACAGTTACTACTGTACATGTTGTACCAGATCATATAATGAGAATGGACCTTATAATAGGAAAAGACTTGTTAGCAAAAACACAATTGCACATAGATGGTGACAAGATAACTATAAGAAAAAGAGGCGAAGATATTGTTGCTGATATAATGGCTATAAACATCACAGAAGAACCAGATATCGAAATTGGTAATGAAGTAGAAAAGAAGCATGTATGTATGGAAGTGGGAGTGTGTGCGTGAACGCGCACAGCACCTAGGCCCCATTGGGCCCCTTGTGCATCCTCCCCGCACCCCCTCCGGTCACATCAACCAGCCAAGGGATTTTCCAAAGGCTAGGATGTCTCTCGGAGGTGTGTTCCTGATGCCATCCGTGGTCGGCCATTCCTCTCCAAAGGTCCTCATTCTGAGGTCGGTCAGAGAGGGGCAATCACACAAGATGTGTTTAACCGTCTCATCGTCCTGCTCGCAGGCTCGACAGAGAGGGGAATCAACAAGCTTCATGTTGTAGAGGTGCTTGTTCACCTTACAGTGCCCCGTGAGGAGACCTGTAACTATGCGAAGGGCACATTTATCGAGCCCTACAAAGAACTGAGCTGTTGTTGCTGACGGATATTTCAGCAATTCCTTAGCAAGGTGACAGCCCGTAACTCTATCCCACCAGTTCAAGAACTTTTTGTGAGTGAAGCGCTTAATCAATTCAATATGAGTAGCTAAGGAAGGGGTGATTATCGGCTCGGGTGCACAAAGCGCTCTACCGGCGGCTCTTTTGGCCAGCCTGTCAGCGTGGTTGTTACCCGAGCAACCAGAATGCCCTTTAATCCATTGGATAGCTACGCGATTGTGTATCGCGGCCTCTTCCAATGCCATATGACAATCCATAACTAGCCCAGAGGTTATAACTACTCTGCTTAGTGCTAAAACAGATTGTCTACTGTCTGTAAAAATAGTAAAACACTTACCCCTCTTCTTGGAATTAATAATAGAGTCAGCGGCAAGTTTAATAGCGGTTAGTTCCGCTTGTTTGACGGTGGTACCTGTTCCTAAAGGTTCAGAGAGTCGTATCTGAAGGTCATGAGAAAAGACCCCAGCGCCTGCACCATTCCGTCTCCTCGAACCATCAGTGTAGATCTTAAGATCTTTATGTGTATCTACTGCTGTGGCACTGCTATAGGTTAGGTACTTCTTTGAAAATACATATTCGGCTGGTATGTAGTCCGTTTTACACTCGAGTAAAGGTATGTCGACAACGGCTCCCCTCCAGAGTGTCGAACTGCATCCAGCGTCCCCAACTTTCATAATTCCTACTGATTGTAGTCTTAGCATGGTTACCAGCGCCACTTCCTGAATGTATAAGTTTAGTGGTGGTAAGTTTAACATGACTTCCATGGCCGCGGTGGGGGTTGATCGCAGCGCACCTGTAACATACAAACACGCGAGTCTCTGTATTCTATTAAGTGCGGTGGTGGCAATGGATTTTGAAGTTCTAGTCCACCAAACCACCGCACCATACGTCAGCATTGGTCTAATTACGGCCGTGTAAATCCAGAGGGCTATCGTGGGGGACAAACCCCAAGTCCTTCCAACGGCCCTCCGGCACTGGCCGAATGCGACACAAGCCTTATTTACTCTATTTTCTAGGTGGGATTTCCACGTTAACTTACTATCTATCGTTAATCCCAAGTACTTAACTTCTGTAGATAGCGTGAGTGGAGTTTTAGCAAGCATTGGCAGTCTATGATTGCCTATGTTGCGCATGCGTGTAAAAAGAATCATTTCCGTCTTCTTGGGGTTTACAGAAAGAGATTGCTCGTTACACCATTTCTCAATTAGATTGAGTGCTTCCTGCATCCTTCCAAAGAGTGCATTTACGTACTTGCCTCTTATAAGGATTGTCAGGTCATCTGCATAGCCAGTGGTTTTAAAACCGGCTAGATATAGGCGTTTCATGAGGCTATCCAGGGTGAGATTCCACAAAAGTGGAGATAATACTCCCCCCTGCGGGCAGCCTCTAGTAACTGCCCCCTGAAGGGTGGCCTGACCAGCCCTCAAATTGACGATTCTTTGTCTTAGAGTGCTCTCAATCCAGCCACAAAGGGCCGGAGGGACGTCATGCTCTAACAAAGCTTCGTTGATTCTGGAGAAGGTGGTTTTATCAAAAGCGCCTTCAACGTCAATGAAAACCCCCAGGGCGGACTCTTTAAGGTCCAGTGCACCGCTAACAAAACTGATCACTGAGTGAAGAGCCGTCAGCGTGGACTTTCCCTGGGTGTAAGCATGTTGGTTAGGGTCTAATGGTCTGTTGTGAAGACAAGAGTCCCTGATATAGCGATCGCATAGCCTCTCCAACGATTTTAATAGAAAGGAAGAGAGGCTAATTGGTCTAAATGACTTCGGATGGAAGTAATCTTGCTTACCCGGTTTTGGTATAAAGTTGACTGTGACGTCACGCCAACTACCCGGTACATAGCGAAGCGCCAGGCATCCCTGGAAGATTCTCTTCAGGTGCGGTATGAGGTCCTCCAGTCCCCATTGTAATAGGGCCGGTGCGATCCCATCCGGTCCTGGAGTTTTAAACGGTGAGAACGTATTCACGGCCCATCGTATTTTTTCCTCCTCGCAGATGGTGTTGGCCAGTAGCCATTCATCCGCGGTCGNAGTTTATTTGGTTACAAAATTTAAATTAAAAAAAAATTGCAGTAATACTACTTGAACTTCAATACGTCCTAGTTTTTTACGTTTTTCCGAAAATTTGGAAAAGTGGAGAATGTGAAATTTGCATCTACACCACTCAATTGGTTACCATAGTTACTCATGGCTACTGCTACTTTTATCATTATACAAATTTGAAGTAATTAAACTTTAAAGTAATTTTTCTCGAAAATTTTCTTATGTAACCAATATTAATATTGACTGTACTAGATTCAGAAGAAAATCCCCTTTCATATTCCGCAATAAAAATGGGGGATTGCCATTAAAAAAAAATATCACCAAAAAATTTATATCTTTAGACCCGTTTCAGGGATTTTTCCATAAACCTTTTATTATGATTTTATCGCCTCTATCCGTTACTTTACGGACACACTGTATATTGTTATTGACCTAACACTAGATCTAGAACTAGAAACATTCGGGTTTAGCTGAACGTCTTCACTAGACCTAGAACTAGAAACATTCGGGTTTAGCCGAACGTCTCTCAAGACGGCTAAACCCGAATGATTCTAGTTCTAGGTCTTGTGTTACTTCTAATGATAGTGCTAGTGTAAAACTAGAACTAACAGTAGATCGAGAACTAAAAACATTTGGGTTTGGCCGCACGTCTCTCAAGACGGCTAAACCCGAATGATTCTAGTTATAAGTCTTATGTTAGTTCTAGTGATAGTGCTATTGTAAAACTAGAACTAACACTAGACCTAGAACTAGAAAGTATCGGGTTTAGCCGTGCGTCTTCAGACGCAGCTATAAGTCCATTCTAACCCATCTAAACCACATCCTATTCTTGGGAGCGCGATTTTTTTAACGCCCTTATCCAATGTTCTCTCATTCTTCTTAAAGATCGAAACAAAGTTTCGTATGTTGGTTTTCCATTTGAAGATCGTTTTGTTACTAGATAGTAAACGTATCTTTTATCAACAAGCAAAGTTGCAACATCACCTTGTCGTATTCTTTGTTCCAGTAATTCATCAACCCTTTTAAATTTGTTCCTAAGAAATAAATAATTTATATGATAAATAAGACAATAAATAATACCTAAACTCGGTAGCGATCCCATTTCCCATATTCATATCTTCTGCTACACAATGACCAAGGGCATATTCATCATCAGCACAAAATAAATCCCCAAATGTTTCGATAACATTTTCAGTTTCTTCATCGTTATTAAACTTATTTGAATCCCAATTATCAAATTCCCTATCTCGTTTCTAGTTCTAGGTCTAGTGTTAGTTCTAGTGACAGTGCTAAGTAGAACTAGTTAGTATTAGATAGCGCTAGGTTGTTGTATATTGCTATTGAATTAACACTAGACCTATAACTAGAAGCATACAAATTTAGCCGTCCTAAGAGACGTTCGGCTATACCCAAATATTTCTAGTTCTAGGTCTACTGTTAGTTGTAGTTTTCGCTATATTACGGTTTTACTGTAAATTAAAATCTGTCCAAAACGAAGAATAATAGATTCGTTGGGTTAACGCGCGGGTTCTAATTAAATTATGAAATTTTTGGGTGTGAGGGTGAAATTGATGAAGATGGATTGTTAATTTCGAAACGTGTCAAAATAATAACATCTCTCGTTTCCATTTTGGGGGTGTTGTTTGTAATTAAATTCACCGAATTCAATTCTCTTAATAGTTATTGAAGTACCTATTAATTTAAATTTTTTTGAATTCTCTTAATAGTTATTGAAGTAGGTATTATAATTTGAATTTTTTTGATTTGTCGCAAGAAAGTTTTGATTAATTCACTCGGACTTAATGATGAAACGGGAAAAGTAAAAAAATAAATATTTTTTTCTTCCGAATTCGTTCGAAACTCTACGGAGAACTTATTTGGGAACTTGAAATTTTCTCGTTTGTGTCGCGCGTAAAACTTTCCGGTCTGAATTAAAATCTATCCGTTGCGAACTTAACATTCAAATTAAAAAAGTTAAAAGGGAACTTTTTTAATACTTATTAAAAATTTTATTTTTAATAATCTATGTTAACTTTTAATAATAAAGTTTATATTTTAATAATTAAAAAAAAAAATGCATCGGCCGGGAATCGAACCCGGATCGCCCGCGTGGCAGGCGAGCATTCTACCATTGAACCACCGATGCTGACATTTTACACCGTTTATGTCTGATTAATCATTATTTGTATTAACCTAAAAAACTTAAATCATCTTTATAATTATTATAAAAGAATGTTACTTTTATTAAAGTCAATGACACATTTTAAAAAATCGATTTATTAAAAAAACACTGATAATTATATATAAGGGTGTTGTGTATTTAGAGGTTGGTACCCCTTTTAATTTTTTGCCAACTTCATGGTGACGCTTTTTTTTTAAATGTCATTATTAACGGTGGAAATTCGTTATTATTAAAACGGTTCATTTCACAAGGTAAGTGCAACAATGAGATTGATATTTCTTTTTAGTTTTTAGCAGCAAAACCCGAATTAGGATCATACTTTATCAATTTACACCTAATCTATGAATCCGAAAGAAATTGATGGTTGTTGAGCTTCTTCTTTGATACATATATTGGATATTAACGCTTCAAAAAGTAATAAAAGTTACGATAAGATGGTAGAAGATATGACGGTATATGCACTATACTTTTTTTTTTTAATTCGGAAGAGTAAAATGAACTTGAAGGAAGGAAAGTGAAGTGGAACTTTTCAAAGCTATTTTTTGGCGGGAGTTTTAAAACTTAGGTAAGTTGTAGTTACGAATTTAATTACTTATTTGTTTAAACATAATAAAAATCAGGGCGTACCTACTTACTTTGTCCCACATAAAATGTAACATGTCAATATATTTTGACATTATACTAAAACCTCGATATAACGGATTAATATGGAGAAGTAATAATCTAGCGCTAAATTACAAATAAAACTAGACTAATATTAGCACTAGACCTAGAACTAGAAACATTCCGTTTAGCTGTACCTCTTTTAAGACGGTTGGTAGCGCTACTTAGCATAAAATATTATTATGATGCATATTTTTGTTGAACTAAAACTAGAACTAACACTAGACCTAGAACTAGAATCAGTCGGATTTAGCCGTGTTGAGAGACGTGCGGCTAAATCCGAATGATTCTAGTTCTAGGTCTAGTGTTAGTTCTAGTTTTATACTAGCACTATCATTAGAACTAACACTAAACCTAGAACTAGAATCATTCGGGTTTAGCCGTCTTGAGAGACGTGCGGCTAAACCCGAATGTTTCTAGTTCTCGGTTTAGTGTTAGTTCTAGTTTTACACTAGCACTATCACTAGAACTAACACTACACCTAGAACTAGAATCATTCGGGTTTAGCCGTCTTGAGAGACGTGCGGCTAAACCCGAATGTTTCTAGTTCTAGGTCTAGTGTTAGTTCTAGTTTTACACTAGCACTATCACTAGAACTAACACAAGACCTAGAACTAGAATCATTCGGATTTAGCCGTCTTGAGAGACGTGCGGCTAAATCCGAATGATTCTAGTTCTCGGTCTAGTGTTAGTTCTAGTGGCAGTGGTAGGTAGCGCTAGTTAGCATAAGATATTACTATGTTGTATATTTTTATTGAACTAAAACGAAGTAAACTGAGCTAAACAGACCAATAGCAACCCTTCTTTTTGGCGCTTCAATTTGAATACACTTCTCCGAATTAAAAAAATATAGTATAGAACACTCCGAGATCTTATATTTTGTTGATCATATATAAAATTATTTTAGATAGAATCCTAAACTATGCATTAAGAGATGATTCTAAAAGAATGCATCGGCCGGGAATCGAACCCGGATCGCCCGCGTGGCAGGCGAGCATTCTACCATTGAACCACCGATGCTGATGATCAATAACAGAATTCACCTAGATCGTTGCTTTAAATAACCCAATTATTGTCACCTCTAAATACAACACTTTCTATTACAGTATCAATTCATCTACGTTAGATTAAAAACGTTAATCTAAAACATTAACGAACACATTGGTGATTATAATCGTATTTTGATACGGTCGAAAATCGATTAAGAATAATATCATTGTGTATTCCACGCAAAATGTACGTTAACGTAAAAATGGAGGTAATTTAAGTCTAAACTACATTTATTATTCACTGGTTTATCTACTGCGTTTTACTTTTAAGGTCATTTACATTCCGTCTATAGTTATTTCATTTTTATTATGATTTATTAATTTTGATTTCGGTTAAATTTGAAACAGTTTTTCGAGTATTTCAAAGCGGTACATACTGACCTAGAGGTCACGAACTTAAAGGTGAAGTAAACCGTCACAAACATTCGCCCCCACCTCATCTTACCACCCGCGGAATCTGGCACAAGATCCCTTCAACTCCTTTTTTCCACCCGTTACTCACACATACAACTTTTCCCCACCAAAAGATTATTGTATCCCCCCTTTTTCTTTATGCTTCTTATAGGGATTTAAATGTTAGTTTGTTTGTGTACTAATTAAGATTAAATATTATTTTTCCTATTTTTTTTTTTTTAGTACATCTCACGCATCTAATTCGTATTGCACTGTGGAGTTGAAGGGGGTGATATGGTTGTGTTTTGAGGGATGAGAGTCAGTGGGGGGTTCACTACGAATACCGAGTATTGTAGTATACATAGTAAGGGGAGGTAAATCTAGGGTTGGATGGAGAGGTGTAGGGGAAAGGGGGAAGGGCTTGCGTTGGGGGTGAGTAACCCGCTGCGGCACAGCATCGGGGGCGGCCGAGCGCCAGGTGAATGACCGCCGCCGACCCAGACCGACACACGTATACCGATCGATCGATCGGCCGTTGACTGCACCCGGGTGCGCACTGCGCCGCCACCCGGGGGCGTCGGCAGCAGCGTCGGGACGCTCTTCCGGGTACCGTGTCGGGGAGTTTCCGCCAGATGACGCCTACCCCCCGTTCTCGTTGAGTTTTACCGGATGTTCTCTTGTTGTTTTTCCAAAAGAGATACTTGATTAACTTTTTTCTGCTATATTTTACATTATTTTTCTTTAAATATAATATACTTTACTAAATTAGTTATCTAATAAAGACACACAAATTATATTGATTAAACAAAAAAAATGTTAGCGCATTTTTCCCGTCTTACGTTCCTTTGGCCTAAACTCTAGACGTTGATTGATGTTCGTTTTCCCCTTTTCCAAAATGTAATTTTCGTGGGTTCACATCGGAAAGGTTGGGTTGAAATTCGGACGAAGGAGGCTGATGTTGCTAAACTTCGGGAACGTTCTAAATTCGTACCGGATGACGGTGCGCGTTTTGACGAAGTCCTTCGTCTTTTGTCGTCGAATTCCTCCCTCCAAAATGAGTAAAAAATAATAAAAAATGATCCTTCCATGATATATAATCTTAATAAACATTTTTAAATCTAAAGAATTCCTTATTCTCAACTAAAATGACACTTTCTTCTTTTTGGTGTGTTAAGAAAAGTGTTATCGATAAAATTACACACCAACGGCTTATACATATATAATTGCGATGATTTAGGGTTATTTGGTGCAATTTATTGTTTAATGTATTCATAGGTTTCGTGAGTTTCATATGGGAAAGCTTATCACTGTGTAATTAATCGTTCTCGGTTTGCATGTGTTTAATATGTGGACTATGTAGATGTTCAAACTTGCGCGAAACGTTGAGTTTTTGTCTCTTTGATTCATAAATTTAATAATACACAGACAAACACGTATATATTGTTCCTATTATTGACAGAATGACCATTCTCAGTTTGCAATGAGTTAGTGAGTGAGTTTGAGTGGCAGCAAATAAGTCTATATGGTACAGGTTCCACTAGATTTGAAGATGGTAGAAAGATATTTGTTGGTTTGGGGCTAACAAGTAATCAAAATACAGTTGAAAACCGGAGGATGAAAGTAGAAATTCATACTGGTAAGACACTACACTACCTACTTGAACCACCTAAGTTTTAAATAATAAAGAGATGAAGTATCTGCGAAAAATAGTAAAAACCAGAAGAGACACAGTACATCAAAGAAGAACAAAGCTACAATCTATGGTTGCAACGAAAATGTTTAATATGAAACCAGTAGGAAGAATAGAGGAATGGAGACCCATTGCCTATGTTCATTGAACTAGTTTGAATGGAGGACAAGAAGAAGAAATCAGTTCATCTTAGTACTAAATATAAATGTTGAAATCACTACAAGTTATACTTCCGAAAACTCGTAAGGTGTTGGATTTAGAACACAGAGTTACCAA